CTCACCCCATTCTCATTAAAAAACTAGGGGACTGTGGCATCGACACCTACACAGTCAAATGGGTCACTAACTGGCTGGAGGGCCGCACCCAGAGAGTGGTGGTGGACGGGTCATTTTCGACCTGGAGGGATGTGAGCAGTAGGGTTCTGCAGGGTTCTTTCCTTGGACCTGCACTGTTCAACATCTTCATCAGAGACTTGGACGAGGGGGTAAAAAGCACCCTGTTCAAATTCACAGATGACACTAAGATGTGGGGGGAAGTGGGAACAGTAGAAGGGAGGAATAGGCTGCAATCGGACCTAGACAGGGTACAGGGGTGAGCGGATGAAAACAGGATGGGTTTCAACATTGACAAGTGCAACGTACTGCAGCTGGGGAAGAAGAACCAGAAGCATACCTACAGGCTGGGGAACTACCTTCTTGTCAGTGCAGAGGCAGAAAAGGATCTTGGAGTCATTATTGATGTCAAAATGAACATGGGCTGACAGTGTGGGGACGCGGTCAGGAAGGCCAACCGCACCTTGTCATGTATCCACAGATTCATCTCAAGCAGGTCCAAGGAGGTGATCCTCCCCCTCTATGCGACACTGGTCAGACCACAGTTGGAGTACTGCATCTGGTTCTGGGTGCCGTACTTCAGGAGGGATGTGGACAACATAGAGATGGTCCAGAGGAGGACCACTCACATGATCGGGGGCAGCAGGGCAGACCCTATGAGGAGAGGCTAAGGGACCTGAACCTGTTCAGCCTCCACAAGAGAAGGCTGAGGGGGCATCTAGTGGCCATTTACAAACTAGTCAGAGGGGACCAGCAGGCATTGGGGGAGTCCCTGTTCCCCCGAGCACTCCCAGGAGTGACTAGAAATAACGGTCACAAGCTGGTAGAGGGTAGATTTAGACTAGATATCAGGAGGCGCTACTTCACTGTAAGGGCAGCTAGGATTGGAACCAACTTCCAAGAGAAGTGGTGCTGGCTCCTACCCTGGGGGTCTTTAAGAGGAGGCTAAGTGAACACCTTGCTGGGGTCATTTGACCCCAGTACTTTTTCCTGCCATGACAGGGGGTCAGACTTGATGATCTACTCAGGTCCCTTCCTACCCTAGCAACTATGAAACCTCTAAGACGTAGCTGTATTTGCTGACTCATCTCTTTTCCCATTCCTTATTTTTAATATACTACTTGAGTGTTTGTTAATTCAGTTAGGTCTGAAGCCTCTGCCTACTATTTTTCCCTCTTGCTTGGGAATCATTGTAGCATGTAGAAGAGAGTTTGAGGATGCAGTTTCTGTGAAAATTCCTCCAGGAAAAAGGGTCCAATCAACCAGTATATTTTGATCTTGAGTCAGCATATGTCATTAGATTAGCATCCAAGGTGAGTGCTGGTACACGTGGAGAACTTGTGAAAATATCAGACTCTTTCTGGAATATTACAAGTTCCATTGCAGGAAAGCAGCATAGAAATGACACAACATTAATTTGAGCTTCTCTTATTTTTAATTCATAACAGGTGCTTTTCCAGCAGCCGCTTTGTATGCACGAAAAGACTTACTTCAGAGACCCACTCATGTTGCTACCAAAACTTTCCAAGCTTTGCGCATATTTGTGAATGATGAGCTCCATGAACTCTATAACGGGCTGAGGACAGTGGAGAAGTTTCTAAAGCGTGGAGGTCTACTTGTTGCCCTTTCTTTTCATTCACTAGAGGATCGCATAATCAAACGTTTTCTTTATGGAATAGACATTTCAGAAAAGTCTAACCTCAGTGTACAACAGAAAATAAGACTGCATAAAAAAAATCACTTTGAACCTGAAAATAATGAAGAATTCTCTAGTAGAACATCCAATACAAAATGGACATCTATAAAGAAAAAAGTCATTACTCCTCGGGCCATGGATATTAAAGAAAACCCAAGAGCACGGTCTGCCAAACTAAGAGCTGCTATTAAATTGTAAAATTGTCTTTTCTTTAATATTTCGTCTTTTAAAATTTTGATTCATGAGAAAGATGCATGTGTAGAGATAGGCAAACTGAAAATAAAATGGAAAAAGTAAAAATAAATGGAAAACTTATACAAGCATGTCTTCTATGTTCAGTCTTTAGTTTTGATTATTGTATATCACATGGTATTATTATATATTACTCTAAATTAACGAAGCCAGTTAATTCTAATTGTTTTAAAAGGGTCCTTTCAATGCAAGATTCTTATGGCTCTATGACCGCTACAAAGCCACAACTGTTTTGTATAGTTTCAACGTGCAGATCTTGAACATTAGGAAGAACTTTCTGACTATGAGGGTAATTAAGCACTGGAACAGATTACCTCGAGAGGTTGTGGATCTCCATCCCTGGAAGATTTGAATACAAACACGTCTCTGAAATGATTTAGATTCGGATGATCCTACCTCGAAGTGGGGGTTGGACTAGATGACCACCTAAGGTCCCTTCCACCCCTACTTTTCTATGATTTTGTGGTAATGGTAAACCCATGAACCTATCTGCATAATGGATATAGCATACCCACAAATATGTATACCCATTATAAAGAGCTGTATCCATGACAGTTCCTGAGGAGCAAAGGTGAAAGAAAGTAGAAATTGGTAAGTGGGGTTTGTGGAAGACAAAGAAAAGGCCCTCTGGACCCTAAGGATGAGTCTCCTGCTCCATATCAAATGCTGCAGATAAAGATGATTGTGATTCCTAAATATTTACCAAGAATATTTTATAAGCACTAGATAATATCTGGCACTAGATAATATCACAGTTCCTGAGGAGCAAAGGTGAAAGAAAGTAGAAATTGGTAAGTGGGGTTTGTGGAAGACAAAGAAAAGGCCCTCTGGACCCTAAGGATGAGTCTCCTGCTCCATATCAAATGCTGCAGATAAAGATGATTGTGATTCCTAAATATTTACCAAGAATATTTTATAAGCACTAGATAATATCTGGCACTAGATAATATCTGGAGTTCTGGCACACTGCAACCTGCTGGACAGCTGACACCCCAGACACCTCTGCACTTTTACCTGAGCTACTAGTTCTTGCCTGCATTGTGGGCCAGGCCAGCCTCTGGCTTCTTTACTATTCCTTCCATCCAGGACCAACTGCAGCTACTTACTCAGCCTGACAAAGGGGTTTTCAACCCTAAAGCTGGCATCCTGGGCAGCTAAGCTGAGCTCACCAGGAACCTCACAACTGCACTGCAACCAGCAAGCATCAGGCCTGTCAAAGACATGACAGGTCTGGGCGTTCCCCAGCCAGGACTTTGTGTGTGCTTGCGTTAGCTGGAGGTTAAGGTGTCTCCTACCCGCCTTTCACTAGGGGATCGTTGGTCCTGGCATTTATGGGGCTGCCATGCTGCCAGCAGTCCCACCAGACCTCCCTACCCTGGCAGGGTGCAGTTTTAGTGGTCATGCCCAGGACCTGGGGCCTCCTCCTTCCCCATAGCCCCAATCCCATATCTCCAAGTTCATCCTGGCAGGGGAATGAGCTCAGCAGGGACATGTTCTTCCCCTGCTAGCTGGTGATGCAGTTAGTGCCCCCAGCTGCGAGCAGGGCATTACTTGGCTTTTCAAAACCTGAAAAAAGGAAATAGGTGCAGATGGAGTGAGGAGGGTGGCACTCAGTCCATCTGCAGGTGGAGCTTGGGGAACCCCAGTAGCGGGAGGTTCACCTTTAGGAACACGAGCTGCTCCACCAACATAGGATCCAAGCAGATGTGGTGGGGTGTGACAATATCCCCAGCAATGCTGAACACCCTCTTGCTTGGAACACTAGTTGGTGCACAGGACAGGTGGACAGGACAGGTGTTGCCAGGCAACCATGGCCAGATCCTGCCACATCTGGCTGCGGCTTGCCCAGTAGGCCAAGGGGTGGCAGTCCAGTGGTTCCACATTCTCAGTGAGATAAGTAGCCACTGAAGCTTTGGCACTACCTGCCTGAGGCTGGGTCCTGGTGCATTTGGACCCCAGAATTGAAGCCATGACCATGGCCCACATTGGCAGTCGCTGGCGTGGAAGAGACTGGCTGGTGCTGGTGCCAGCGCCGGTGCTGATGCTGGGAGTGCTGGCATGGGAAAGTGGATCCCCCTCTTCCGCATCCCCTCGCCTCTGCACTTTCTCCTCCCTGACTTTGTTCACCAGCACCTGCATTCAGTGATCAAGGGTTTTGGGGCTGCCAGTGCACATGCTCCCCTTCACCCTTGGGTCACACATGCCCGCCATCATGTGGACTGTACTGAACTGCAAGGGATCCAACCGTCTCCTGATGCCTTCCTTTAACCGCCTCACCAGTGCCTGCACGTCTGGTGACAGAGGCCTGCCCCAGCCAGGAACATTGATCCCCTGGAACTTCTCCATTTGGTTCTCCAGTTCCCTCACTACAGGAACACCTGGCTGAGGAGGGCATTGCCAGTGCTAAGTCTCGGTGGCCTCAAGGAAGGACTTGAGGACAACCAACATCTGGGAGATGGTACCCCACTCAGCTCTGTTCAGGGGGGCACTGATCCCAATCTCCCCAAACAAGGCCATCTCATGGATGGCCTTCTGTTGCTCCACCAGCCTCTTGAGCATCAGGTATGCGGAGTGCCACCGAGTCTCCACATCCTGTATGATTCTGTGCTGCAGGATGCTCAGCTCTGCCTGTTTCTCCTGCAGCATCTTGCCCCCCTTGATGCTATGGTGGAAGTAGCCCACCACTTTGGAAATCAGCTGGCTTGTAGCAGTCCCGGTGGTGGCGCCGTCACCGGCAGCCCTCTCCCCCTCCAAGACATTCCTCACTATTAGGTGCAGCCTGTGTGCCATACAGCGGATGCCAACAAAGTTGGCATCGCGGACAGCCTTCACCATATTGGCCCCATTGTTGGTGACCATGAACCCGTGGGTGAGCTCGGCCTGCCCAACAAGCCACCCCTGCACCATGTGGTTCATGGCCCCCATGATCTCCCTTGCTGTGTGGGACTCATCCAGCACCTCGGCTTGCAGTAGAGCCCACTGATGGCTTGACTGAGCACACCAGTGCCCCGTGAGGGAGAGGTAGGCATGAATGCCACCCCTGCTGCTCCAGATGTCAGAGGTAAAGTGCAAGGCTACCTGCGGCCCTGCCTTGCGCAGCTCCTCCCTCAAGTCTCCCTGCATGCCTGATACAGGGAGGGCACCACCACCCTGCTAAAGGCGGTGTGTGCAGGCACTTTGTAAAATGGGGCCAGAAATGCTACGAACCACCTGAACCCTGGTCACTCAACTAGGGAGAAGGGCTGGCTATCCAGAGCAAGCATCTCCCAGTGCTTTGGCTGATCTCACGTGCCTTGGGAATGCGCCCCCCTTTCTTCTGTCCACCTTTGCCCCACTGGTCCAGGGTGGCCTGCCTCTGCTTTGGGAGTAAGGAGGCTTTGGAGTGAGTGGGGGACTTCCCTTTCGGCACATTCGCACTGGTGCCAGGCTGAGCTGCTGCAGGAAGAAGGGCAAGGGGGTGATACCGCCTCAGATGCAGCAGCATGGCCTTGGAGAAGTGTTTCACATCTTTGCCACGGCTCATATGCCTTCGGCAGTGCTGTCAGATGGCAAACCTGGGATCATCTGCCACCTCAGAATGATCCCACACTACACTACTCCCCTGCTTCTGGGTTGCAGGCAAGGATCCTGCCTTTTCCCCCTTCTCAGCAGGCTGAGGCTGAACAGCAGGAGGAGCTGCCTCAGCTGACCCACTTGCCTCCGCAACCTCAGCCTTCTCCGAGGTGCTGCTTTCCAGAGGAGACCTGGGTCTAGGGGAAACTTGAGGGGTGTGGAGCACAAACTCTGATTCCCCCCTCAGTCCGCAGAATTGCTTGACCCTGGTTCCAGCTCCTGCTCCTCCTCTGGTAGTGGGAGGCTCATGCTGAGAGCTGAAATTGGGGTGGAGGAGACAGTGATTCCACTGCTGGTGCACCTTCTGGACTGAGTGGAGGTGGTGCAGGTGCAGGTACGTTAGGGCCAGACACTGCTCCCACCACCTGGCTTCCACTGGCAGCACTGATGTCATGGCTGCTCAGGAATAGAATGCGTATGTGTTTGGGACAGGGGGCTTGCAGCTCTAGCTGTCCCCATACCCCCTCTCCCTTCCCTGTCAGAAGACCTGGTACCTGCCTGTCCAGCATGCTTCATATTGATCTTTCCTGTCCTGGAAAAGGTCTCTGTGTGTATGAATCCTTTTGTATATCTGTCTGTCTTGTTCTCCTGTGAATATTTGTGTCTATCTTGTGCTGTGAATGAAATTATTTGTGTGTCTTCTTTGTGGCTCTCAGGATATTGTTTATCTTGTGCTGTGAATTAAATTATTTGTGTGTCTTCCTGTGTCTCAATATATTATCTGTGTCTTGCTCTTCTGTAAATATCTCTGTCTTCTTCAGATGTGATTTTTTCTATATTCTGGGTCTCTGTGTATGTGCGTACATGCATGCGTGCAAGCAATCTGTGTCTCCCTGCACAGTGATAGATAATACTGGTTGGGTAAAAACAACTTTCTTTTTTGCGAAGTTTCCAAACCAAGTTTCCAAAAAAATAATTCAAAGAAATAAATTGAATTGTAATACTATTAATAATTGAATAGAATAGTTAAGCTAAGCTAAGCTAAATCCTAACCACTCATTTATAACACGAAAAAGCAGCATTCCTCTCTCACACGGTCACTGACAGGGAACGAGCTGCAAAAGGCAGAGAAGGGCTGGAAACAGGGGCTTTTATACTTTTGTTTAGTTCCACCCTGCAGATGCTGCCATTGGAAAGGTAGCCAGGGAGAAATCCTTCTCACTCGCTAGTATACAGACGTCACTCCTCCCCGCCCCGCTCTCTCTCCCCCACTCCCACTCTCCGTCCCTCCTCCGCTCCTCCTCCCTCTTCTAATTGCCTCAAAATGGTCAAAGCGGGTCCAAAGCATCTGAAGCGGAACTGAAGTGCTTCGGATGCCCCCAACCCACTCCGGACACCATTGCTGGGATCCAGCTTCGATCCAGAAGTGCCACTTCAGATGCTGAAGCATCTGAAGCGGCTCCAGATCCAAAGCAGGATCCGAAGACTCTCACAGCCCTAATATTAACCGTGC